AAACTCAAGCAAGCAGCAAACATCTTTAAACAGATTGCCATGTTTAAATGAGGTTCATAAAGGTCAACATTTTGCTCTTACTCCAGATCCAGATTAGCAAGTGGAAAAGGCAGTTCCCCAAATCACATTATCCAAATTTATGCTACTCAAATATCATTCTGTAGTAGCTTCTGCATGACAGAAGGATATGCAAGCAACCTGATGTAAAGTAAAAAGAGAGACCCTGAACTCAGAAAATACTTGTTTCCCCACAAGATCATGTCCCGTGTTTCAAGTCATGCAGATTTCAGATGAAAATGAGACATCCCACCCCCCAGTTCGGGCAACTTCAACCAGGGATCCCCATATTCAGTGCAGAAAACAAAATCCTCCTTTCTTCACACATACATTTCCACCTGTTTATCACTGTAATGGGCCCATACCCACCGCATACAGCTTACCCAGACCAACAGACTCCCAATAACATAATTCAAAGTGTTTTATAAAGGTTGCCTAGGTGTAAAGAAGAAAAGACTCAAGCTTACAAAGTGGCATCTGTAGATTTCAAAGAACTTTACAAAATAGGTAACCATTAGCCACGCAAGAAAGTGGGTGCAGAGGAGCTCAGCAACTCTGTCACACAGTAAGACACAGAAATATTCCAAAAAAGAATCCAGGCCTCTTGAACCTGTGCACCATACACTGCCCAACCGATCCTAATGATTTCATTACAGGTAACAGAAAATATAATTTTTTGTGCAATGTAGATCCACACGTGTACTCAACATGTTTACTTTTGGTTTGTCAAAAGTACACATTTTATTATGCTGTATCCTGCAAGCAAATTCCCTTTTACAGAGAGGCGCGGTAATTTGTTCTGCTTCGTTCACTAATTTTTACAGACATGTTTGAGATACAACGTAGCTACGCCATTAGACAGGACATCACGTTACCCATGCAAAATGATGCAGGAATTCACAGGTCAATGTCAAATCTACTCAGTTAAAAAAATAAAATAAGAGGGCAAGTAAGTACAGTTTCAAGTGCTACAGGCGCTTCCAGTGTCAGCCCCATGGCAATCGCTTTCAGGCTTTAAAGTGTTTTCCTCTTCCCGGAGGTTACGTTTACAAAACAAACAAACTGACACCAGGGTGGAAAAAGACGGGGAAGAAATATAAGAAGCAGAAAAGGGTGTATGCAAAACGCTGAAGGCACAGAGGGAATCAACAGGAGCCAATCTATTGCCATGACAGTCATCTTAGGCGTTACTTTTAACAACAGAAAGATCCCACAAAACGAGAGGACTGGGGCAGCAGCGACCCAAGCCCCGGCCCTCACCCCCGGGGCCGAACCGCTCGCACCTGACGCGCAAGACCCCCCCCCCGCGCAGGCCGTGCCCAAGACGAGCGGGTGCGGGTGCGTGTGCGCGGAGCCGCCGCGCTCTTCTGGCCGCAGCAGCGGCTTCGCCTCCACGTCTCCCAAGTCAGCCAAGTTCCTCGCGCGACACTCCCCAACCCCCGCGGGCCCGGCCTCACCTCCTTGACGGGCGGGAATTTCTTGCGGCACTCGAGGCTGAGGCCGCGCAGGTCGCCCTGCATGTTTTCCAGCAGCTTCTTCACCGCCTCAGGGCTGCTGGTGCCGGACATGGCGGCGGCAGCGCCGCCGGCCCCGGCCGAGCAGAAGGCAGCGCCTGGCTCCGCGGGCCCGGCCGGACACGTCTGCGCGG